TTTTCTTATCAAACTTGGGGCGAAGACAAATTGATCTCGACGAGTATAAATTTAATTGTCATCTTTAGTGATATAATTATCTTATCTAAAGGTGATTCTCAAATCAATGTAAAGATTTTAGGTATAATTGACCTGAGTTGTTTAATTGAATCAATAATTGGAAATATGTCTGGGAAAAAGGATTTTGAGTTTTCTTTTGATTCAGAGTGTTTGGGAGGTTGTAATTTAGAAGTTGAAATTCTTCCATTAGTTCTATGGACTTTAGATTTTAATCCAAGAAAAAAAATGTTTAAGTGTGGATTGGAGTACTTGAATGGGTATGAGTATTGAAAAGGTTGGTATCATATTGAAAAAGGTTTTAGAATGAAAAAAAATGCATATGAAGATTGATTAGTGCAAAAAAGGCTTTTTATGTCGGTTAAAGAGGGTTTATGTCAGTTGTAATGAACCCAGTACATTAGAGTCTAGAATTAGACCAACCACTACACTAATACGATTTTTATTTATTTATTCATATTATATTTTTATTATACTTTATAATATATTATTTTATTATCTGTTTAAGAGATTTGTGTCTAGCAAGATTCGAACCCAGTACCTTAGAGTTGGACACCGATACTCCAACCACTAAAACTACTACGAATTTCCGATACATAACTTACAAATAAATTATATTTATATACAAAATATATAAATACAAATATATTTATATATTTTGATATATAAATATTTATATACTTATATATATATTTTTTTTATTTAATATACACTTTCTATGTCGGTTAAATTTCAACCGACATAGAAAGTACTTTCTATGTCGGTTAAAATTTAACCGACATAAAAAGTTCACTATTTATGTCGGTTAAACTTTAACAGACATAGAAAGTACTTTCTATGTCGGTTAAAATTTAACCGACATAAAAAGTGAATTTGTCTACATACCATGTCGGTTATATAACAACCGACATAAAAAGTTCATAATATTATTACAAAAATGCCACCGCCCTATATACTATGACGGGTGGATTACAACCGTGATAAAATATCGTCATAGAATCATATTTTTCCACTAGTGATTTCACTAATTGTATAAAAGACTAACAACAACAAATTGAAACCTAGAGTTAAAGCTATGGATAAAATTAGGCATCCTAAAATTTCTATTTTTATGACCATATGAAGTTAGCCTAATGGAAGCCTTATGTCAAGGACAAATTCATAAGCTATGTTTTTTAATTAATATATGCTTAATTAATTGATTATTTGTGTAATGTTTAAGATGAAAAACATGGTCAATTATAAATGATAAAATAGATTATGTTTTGCTAATCAATCCACCAAAATGCTTCAAAACTAATGAGATGTTTTGATTCGTCCTATTTAATCCACAAACCTAATGGGTTAACAACGGATAAACTGACTCACTTTTTAAAAATATTTATATATTAAAATTAAAAAAATATTACAATAAAAATATTTTTTTATTATATTGTTGAAATATATAAATATATTATAAAATTATAATTTAAATTATAATTATTAATCAATTTAGAATAAATTATTGATTACAATTAAATATTTTAACTCTTTGGCAGGCAAGCTCAAATTTGTAACTTTTCTATCTCATGTTTTGCTTACTAGATAACGTATAAAATCAATTATGTGTTGTAATAGCTAAATTTAGATTCACTAATATTCTTATTTTCTAAGGAAAACAATGTATGTTTTAGTGGTTTTTCACATTAAATAATTTATTATTTCTAATTGTGTAACTATTAAAGACAAGTTTCTATATCTAAATGTTATTTTTATATGGTATTTTATAATTTTTAATAAATTTTAAATATAGAATTTGAATTTTTTATTTTAAATCATTTAATCTTTTAATTATTTGTTTAGATAAAGAAATTTAAATTTCTTATTTGCATAAAATATTATTATCAAATACAAAATTATCATGATTAGATTTATTTAAGGATAACAAAACGAGTTAGACTTAATATGTCGAGTTGCTAACCTACCTCAAAATTGGTGGAGTTAGTTGGTACTTTTAGCACATCAGCCCATTTTAATCCATGACAACGGGGTGAGCTCTGGGATCCCTGCAGGGGTTAGAAATTAAGTTCAGATCCCGTCGGGGATTAGAAATTAAATCCTCATTTTCGTCCCAGTTGGGTTTTGGGTTTTTCAGTCCCCGTCTCGTCCCCGATTTATATTATTTTTAAAAGATAATTATATTTATAATAAATTAATTTTACTATATATTTTTTATATATAAATAAATATTTCTATAATTTTACAATTTATAATAATTATTAATTAAATATATATTTTAATTTATTATATTTATATTAAAATATATATATATATATATATATAAAAGAAATATTTTATCATTTTTTATTTTTATATATATAATATTTATAACATTATTATTATTATTATTATTATTATTATTATTATTATTATTATATTCAAATATTTGAATACTTGTAAGATTATTATTATTATTATTATTATTATTATTATTATTATTATTATTATTATTATTATTATTATTATTATTATAACAATAATACTATATTCAAATATTTGATTATATATAACTTAATTCATTTTTAAGTTGTCATTTAAAAATATGAAATATATAGTTTATAAGGAAATATTTAATAAGTTAATTCTTATTTAATTAGTTCAAAGTAATAAAAGTTTAAATTATCAATTCTTTTTAATCCTTTAAAATACAATTATTTTATTAAGATAAAATTTGATATATAACAAATAAAAATAATAAGATAAAAAAATATGACATAATAAAATATAATAAATATAAATTATAAATAAAATAATATTAGTTACTACTAAGATTTATGTAAAATATTTAAAAAAGATAAAGAAAATAAATTAACTTTATGTTCACCAAATTAGTTGAAAAGAGTGAAAAAAAATTGATTGGAGATATTAAGAAAATGTGAAAAACTGAATAGTAAGAGAAAGAAAATAATGTAATAAATTAATTGATACAAAAGATTAAAAAAGATAAAAACAATTAAAATGTTGGTAGAAGAAAAGTAAAAATGGTGAAATATAAAAAAGTGATCTTATATGTAATAGAAAAAGAAATACTTTTAAAATATTAATATTTTAAAATTTAAATTTAAATATAAAGTTGGAGCGGGGATGAAGACAAACCCGAACTTGGAACTCGAATTTAAATATACTTTTAACTCATCCCATCCCCGACTTTTTAAAGCAGGGAAAACCCGAACTCGCCCCTGATTCCAATCAACTCGATTTTTCCTCGTCAAACTCGGGATCGGGGACGGCTCGGTCTCCACGGGTGCAGTTTAAATTGTCATCCCTAAATCCATCCTTTTTAATCTGTACATGATACGCCAAGGATAAGGCAAAGTGAGTTTATCTACTTAAAAAAATATTTATATATTAAAATTGAAATTAAAAATATTATAATTTAAAATATTATATTGTTGAAATATCTAAATATATTATAATATTATAATTAAGTATTAAATATTATCCAATTAAAATTTAATTATTAATTATAATTGAGTATTTTTTGCACTCAAATATTGTAATTTTTTTAATTTATCTAATAAAAATATTAATTAATAAATAAAACTTAAAAATTATTCATATAATTAAAGGTGTATTTAAAAAATATATATATAAAAAATTGGTGGGCTGATCCACTAGTATGTTAACATGTGCTTTCACGAGGTGGGTTGGAGTATGTAGCTTACCTTGTTCCTCTCTGTTTTTGGCGAGGTGGAGGTGGAGTAGATAAAAACAGGACATGTTATCTCATTTTGTTATCTCTAGATCTATCAATGAGGTCTAATTCATAATATTTGACCCTTACTCACATGATTTAGGATGGATTGAGACTACATGAACTCACTTAGGTCAAGTCAAATTGGGACAAATTATATAATGATAGGTTGAACTTGGTTAAGATAAATTAGATTAAGTTTAAAAGGTTGGGTGAGATCGACTCAAACTTTTTAAATTGGATGAGTCGAGTTGTGTCAAGTTTTGTCGAATTGAGTCAAGATGAATCAGATTAAGTCGGATCGAGTGGGGTCAAGCGAATTAATATGGGTCTGATTAGATTGATAAAATAAGTCCATATGGATCGGGTTAGACTGTAATAAAATAAGATAAACCAATATATGATAAGTTGAGTTAAATCAAGACAAGATGTAGTAAGTCAAGAGGGGTTAAATCAATTGATGTATTAGACCATGACGAGACACGTTGCATTATGGGAAGTCAAGCCTACTTTGGATAGCTAGGTTAGACTTGATAAGAAGGGTTGAATCAAATTATGATAGGTAAAGTTAGAAAGAGTCAAACTAGATTGGGATAAGTTGAATTATGTCAATATATGATAAGCTAGGTCAAGATTATGATATAAGTATATTCAAAACATGTCAAGTCAGGTCGAAGTAGTCATAATGAGTCAAGTCGAACTAGTATCCATAACTTATGCTATGATTCAGGTTTAAACAAATTGAGATGATCTAAAATATTTTAATTGAAAAGATTGAGTCAAATAGCAAATATGAAAAAAAAATACATAAAATCTAATTTTTTTTTTCAAATTCTTATTTTTTAAATAAAATTTAAAATTATGTTATTTTAAGTAATTAAATTAGTCTAGTAAATTTCTTAGATTTTAATTAATTTTTAAATTATTTATTAAAGAACTAATTTTATGAAAAAGTATTTCAAATTTTCTATTAAAATAAATTATGGTCTATAAATTTTTAAAATTTTATTTTAAAGTTAAGAACATATAAATTTATGATTATTTTTAGTTGTTAACATCATAAAATTATAATATTTTGGATGTGAATGTATCGTTCCTCTTTAGAGAAAGATGACCTCTATGAATAACCAGCAAAGAAAAGGTGTAGCGGTTGTGCTTCTGTTGTGTGTTCCTGCAATTGCAAGCGGTAACGTTTGACGAGAATTTTCAAATGATGATGAAGATGAAGAGACTGTTACTGCTGCTAAAACCCTTAAGTGTATCTTCACCGCCTTCCCACACCCACCCTCAGGTAACATTGCCTACACCCACCATCTTGCCTTTTCCTTTCATCATTCCTTCTGACGGCTTAGTTTGCATCTTTGAGTATTCGTATAGGAAACCTCGGTTGAAGGGTTGGTTCCACTTTCCCATATGCACGAATGTTGCTTGATGAAATGTCAATGTGGGGTTTGTTTGTTTGTTTGGCTGTGGTTGGGTTGGAAACTTGTATTCTAAAATGGGTAGATGTGAACTAAAAAAGGTTCAGCATTTATGTATACTTTCCTGCTATATTGCCATTTCCCTCCTACCCCGCATTAGTTGAATGCTCAACGCTTCTTTATACGTGCTTCTTTACACCCTCTGGCTGCCACTGCTGCTCCTGCTACAGCTGATTTTTCCCTATTTAATAATTTCAACCTTCCACTTTTGAAAGAACTTTCCATAAATCCAATAGAGAAACACAGACCACATTGTGATTCAATTCAATGTTTAAAGTTAGACCATTTTTGTACGCTGTTCGTTATTTTGGTATTCAAATGTTAGTTCTGTATTTTTGTCATTTTTATGATTATTATTCAACCCACTGTTTTTGGTGATCTTCTTTTGAATACTTTTAATTTCGTGAAGGGATAATAATTGATGTCTTAGCTTAGCATTGTTTTATTGAGAAGTGATAGTAAATAATCTTTGGTTTGTAGGTTTGAGTGATTAGTTTGTGAGTTCTTCCGAGATCAATCCAATTTAGCCATAAATTTATATAAATCAATCCACGACCGGTCCACATCTAACAAGAACAGAAATAATTTCACGAAACCTTGGTCATCCTTAGTTAATAAGGGGTGCTTCCAGAATTTTTAGCTTATGTTTTACTTGGATGTCTGGCATAATGGCAGTTCTTTTTAGTTTAATTTGAAATTTGAATTCTGTTGGGAAATTCGCAGATCTTACAGTTCTTGGAGAATAGGCGTAAGGTACACCATGATGCAATAAACTTTTGTCAAGCTATTCTGCAAAAAAAGTTAGTTGAATGGAAAGCCGTTCTGCGTAACAATTTGTCACAGCCCATCAATAATGTGGATCTAGTTGTTACAGTTGGCGGTGATGGAACTCTTCTGCAGGCTAGTCATTCATTGGATGATAAAATCCCTGTTCTTGGAGTGAACTCTGACCCTACAGAGATTGATGAGGTATGTAGAGGTTTTAATATTGATATATTAGCTTCAGTGTTAATATATTTTCTTTGATCATATTTTGGTTTAGGTGGCCTATTTGATTACATTCCATTTGCAATAGGTGGAGCAGTTCAGCAGTGAATTTGATGCTACCAGAAGCACAGGCCATCTTTGTGCTGCTACTGTTGAAAACTTTGAACAAGTAAGCTTAGTTCTTCTCTACCTATATAGCAAAGATTAGCAGTAATAATTTTTCTGTGGTGCAAGCATGTGTGAATTGAAGTTTTATTATGCAGAAACATGAAATGTTCAAGTTTGATGACACTGTTGTTAATTTATCATAATGATGAACCATAATTACTCCTGTTAAATTAATTTAATTATTGTAATGTGACTTACTGTTCAAAGCTAAGTTGACAGTACCATGCATTCAAGGACGAAATTGGTCATATATTGTAAAGTTTTCTTGTTAATAATATGTTGCTCTATATTTTGTGACTTGTTCAAATTTTGGATAATTGTTCAGCTTTAAATAATTATTTCTGGCCAAAAAAAATCATATTATTGTATGTATATGATATATACAAATTAGGGATTTTCTCTTGACACATGAAATCTATGCTGAACATTCTCCTGCTTGTATGGACAATTGAAAGGTGAAAAAGTGGGACAAAGTGTAATAAATAGATATTAGGCAAAACTTTTGTTAAAATTAGGAATTAGAAATGATTTTTATCTTTGAATTATATTGCTTTCAGTGTAAGATTTCATTTATCTAGTTTTTAATATCTTTTTCAGGTTTTAGATGGTATACTTGAAGGTCAAATTCTTCCTTCCGAGTTATCAAGGATCATGATATCTGTTAATGCACTACCCTTGTCAACTTATGCTCTCAATGATATCTTAGTTGCACATCCATGTCCTGCTTCACTTTCCAGGTTCTCCTTCAGGTCAGATCTTCCCTGCGAGAAAAATTAAAACTCGTAAACTTGTAAATTTTCTTAATTTCATGAGATCATTAATTATATGTAAAGAAGCAACTAAGCATGTATTTTTGCAGAATCAAAGAGGGTGACAAGCCATGTTCCCCTCTTGTTAACTGCAGATCAAGTGGTCTACGAGTTTCAACAGCTGCTGGTTCAACTGCTGCAATGCATTCTGCAGGTGGATTTCCGATGCCAATTTTATCACGGGATCTCCAGTACATGGTAAGGGAGCCTATTTCACCTGGGGCGCTCTCAGATTTTATGCATGGATTAATCGAACATGACCAGACAATTGTTGCTACATGGACTTGTAAAAAAGGTGTGATATATATCGATGGTTCTCATATCAAACATACCATCCAAGATGGAGATACCATTGAGATATCTTCCAAAGCACCAGTTCTGAAAGTTCTCTTGCCTCATCATTTGTTATATCTAGGGAAGAGGACAACTAAATTCACTGCATATCCTCAACGAGAGAGTTAGGAAATTTTGCTGGAGTGTTTGTTAGTGTGTTTAATGAAAATATAGGCCACATGAGCTGACATGGCTGTAAGCTTGCAATGTTCCATTCTTTTTTAAGGGTTGAGCTACAAAAACAATTCAGAATCTCAAGCATTAATATCCTGGTCATAAATTTGAAGCTGACTAAACTTTAAATTGAGGAGGTTAAATCCCATGTACGCATCACTCATAAGCTCCAAGGTCTAATAAGATGAGAGAGCTTTATTATATCCCTTTTATTAAAACCTAAAAAATGTTAATTTTGGACATGCTATTGTATTTTTTTACTGATAGCTGGCTGTAAAGAATGTTCTATAGGCTACCAAATATGCCAGTTCACTACCAACCAAATTATGTGCCACTACTGCCTAATGATTTGTCCATCTTACATAATACATACATATTAACATTTTTTATGTCTTTCATAGGATGATAGAAGAATAGATCACAATCCAACCATATATATACCATTGTAATTATAGGATCAATGTGATCTTTACCTTTATTTTGCAATAAAGTGTAAATTGAAAGATGGGCGAGCTTGATCGGAGTGAATCTGGTTGCTCTAACATCATGATTCCAATAAAGTCCATCTCTGTTCTCATCATCTCCATGGAACTCGAGGATATAGATTTGTTAAGATTGACTTTCAATTTAGATTATGAACTGAAAGCATCCAAGGTAGTTTTCACCTTATGAGCTTGGTTTTCATTTGCTCTACGAAACATCATCATCAGATCATAAATGAGATAGAGGAGAGTTACCTTGAGAGATTAAAATAAGTAGTCAATTCTTTCTAACAAAAAATTGGATTATTTGAGATAAAAAATAAATACCTATGTTACATTGAATACATCAAAGCAGAAATTTTTTTGGTAGAATGATAATTTAAAATGAATTAAATAAATTAAAATAAGGTTATTCAAAGTTTTTATAGGTTATCATTAAATATAATTTAGTCTCTTTATTTCATGATAATATATATATATATATATATATATATAAATAATTAAATTACATAATGATGATACGAAGGACATGTTTAAAATGAAAAATAAAAGTTACTTTTTAGAGATAATTTATTTAATAATATTCAATGATTAGGTAGAAAAACATGTACACTCTAAAGGATAAAAAATATATATTTAACCTAAAAAGATACCTTAAAGGTTGCATGACAAAATTATAGTTGTAATTATTGATATTAAAATGATTGGATAACTGGCTGCATGAATCTATCCAATAGTCTTAGGTCTAGAGCATACATAGACATTTATAACTCTTGTAATAAGTTTCTATTCATCTTGAAATCAAAGTTTTACTATTTACGAGAGAAGTTTTCTATGATTGTTGTACAAGACATTTAATTTTTATGTTTGAATTGTTATATCATGCTTGACATATTAATAATTAATACTATCATATTTTCTATCATCTTTTATTCTTCATTTGAATTTAGTAATAATTCGTTTATTAATATATTATTAGACATCATGACATTAAGTTGCAATAACATAATAATATTGTCTTGAGAGTGTCATATTTATTAGCTTCAGAGTGTCATATTTATTACCATGTGATAGATTTGGGAGTTGGAATGTAGGTGTCAAGACTTAATCGAGACGTATGATTTGTACTCTAATGGAACAATTGGTATATTCAATATGAAGGTTTTTCTTCTACATAAATCATCTTTTACTTGGAACATGCAAATCTTTAGGAATGCATTGCTTGTGCATGGGGAACTTGTGCATTCCTACTAGGATAATGTGAAATAATTTTCGGGCTATAACAATTTAATACATGTATGATTTTTTTTTTTAATTTTCCTTTTCTTTTTTGGTGTTTTTCTTTGCAATTAACATTATTTTAATTTCTATGCAAACATGAATTTAGTTTTAATCCTGGGATGCTAACTAGTTTGGAAATATTTGAGAGCTCATCCTATACTTGTAAAATAGGTTGTTACGAAGGACACTGATATTACACTAAGATTTATATAATTACTTTATCATTTATTCCTTATTTTGACATGGAAAGTGACTAAATCATGACGAGCTTATATGTGCGTAGTTAATGTACAATTAGAATCATGAAAATTTATATGTTCATTTAGTTGGTCCAATTTTAATTATTATTTTTTGTAAGACATATTACACAATAGTACTCTAACACTTTAATAATATTTGACTTTATAAATGCAAATATTTTGAAGCATCTACCTCACTTCATTCACCTATATAAATTTCTCTTTGCATCTTTGTTTTGTTCACGGAAAACTGAAAATAATATCAAATCTGAAGCCACGCACCCAATGCAACATATTGAAACTCATTAATAATGTCTCAGCACTAAAATGCATTTGAGCGCACTTTCTATTTTCTCATTTCCTCCCTTGTAGCTTCTTTACATGCTTACATATACATGCTTCTCATGTTAAGCCCATGTAGAGTAATTTCTTGTGAATAATGAAAAATTCATTTCTCATTAAATTCATTCTTATTTTGTTCTTTGACCATCCCTTTTATTTGCGCATGCCTTTGAGTCATAATCATGGATGTCTGATAGAGAGAGAACAATCGTAGCAAGATTTCTATGATAGTATCAGAGCTCTGTTCCGTCTACTCTGGTACTCCTTTCTTTCTTTCGTCAAGATTTGTCTTGTAACTTTTTCTCTTTTTTTTTTTTTTTGTTCTTTTGTCATGATGGAAGATTATAATACTTCTTCTAGTTATTTGTATCTTCATCTCAGTGAAAATCCGACTACTCCTCTTGTTTTGTCGATTCTTGAGTCAAACAACTATCACTTATGGAGCAAGGCGATGATCACTCCATTAAGCGCAAAAAACAAAGTTGAATTTGTTAATGGATTTGCAGGAAAACCAAAGAAAGAATATGCTTCCTATAAAGCTTGGAAATGATGCAAAACCATGGTCGCATCATGGCTTGTTCACTCTGCTCATCTCACATTCGACAATTTGGATGGAAAAAACTTAGGACATATGGGATGATTTGAAATCAAGATTCATTTAAGGAGATCTTCTACAAATATCTCAGTTGTAGAGTGAAGTAGTCTCTTTAAAGCAAGGAGAAAGCATGGTAACAAAATTCTTTACAAAACTAAGAGTCATATGAGATGAATTAGAAAATTTTAGGCCAAATTCGATATGCACTTACGAAACAAGGTGCTCCTAGAGGGTTGTTTCAGTTATTGTACAGAGAATAATAGAAGATCATGTCATGTAGTTTTTAAGTGTTTGAATGAACAATACAGTAATGTCAAATCTCATGCATGATTTTTTTCTTGTTCATATTGTGGTAAAATTTGATTTTTTTGAATTTGTGTGTTTTAAGAAGCATGATTTTTGAGCCAACAGTTTCAAGAATTCATGAAATAGAAAAGCCTTCTCTCATTGTGGAAGGAATGGACACACTATTGAAGTGTGTTATAAGAAACATGGTTAACCCTTCAGACACACACTTTACAATGGAAAGAGTTTCTTCACCAAGAATCAAGAATCAAAACCCGAAGTGAAAAATGACAATACTGATCAACAGATGCGACTAACACAACAACAATATCATATTATTATGACCCTGATTAATCAAAATAATGATGCAGGAGTAACCTCTATGAATCAAATCAACTCCATCGCTTCAAATTTTTTTGAATAAGGTATAAGAATTTTTAATATTATTTATTTTAAAGATAAAGGTATTGCATCTCTTGACAATGTTTGTTCTTGTGAAAAAATTAATGTTGTCACTGTTAATCTACTGTTGGCATGAGAACCAAAACTACTCATAAAGGCACTGTCAGAATCTGTGATAAAATCGTACTAAAGATGTTTTGTTCATTCCAGATGTCAATTACAATCTTATTTTTGTTTCTAAGTTGGTTTCTCATCTTGGTATACACATTACTTTTGCTAACAATGTTGCATTATTCAAGGATCGGATAACAAAAGAGAAGATTGGTACAATTGATATCCATCCTGAATTGATATCTTTAGAACATCTAAACGGTTGATTAATCATTTGGTTAACACCATTAATAGTGTACAAATTCATAAAACGTTATCAAGAATATTTGGCATAATAGATTAGAACAATGTCTAATGATAGATTGAATATCTTGAGACAAAAACACTGTTATATTGATTATAGAGTAGATAATTGAAGTGATTGCCATGTGACCAAACACTGATGTCAAATTTTTTACACTATTCATGTAGATATACAGGGTTGTGTTCTATTCCTTCTTTGCATGATCATTGATATTTTCTAATTATTGTTGATGACCACATTTGATGAAAAATAAATCTGATGGTATTATTCATCAAACTTCTTATAATAAGACCCCTCAGCTTTAGTTCTTATTTTAAAACTTCTACTCAATTTTGGATTTATGCTCTCACATATGCTACTCTTCTCATTAATAACATGCCTACTCCTTTTCTCAATAATGCTTCTCCATATATATATATATATATATATATATATATATATATATATATATATATAAAGAATATGGTTTTGATAGAAACAAATTTTTGGATGTCTTTATTATGTTAGTACTCTTGAAGCTAATAGAAGAAAACTTTATCCGCATGTTATAGCAATTATTTTTCTTGGTCTGCATGTTGGGACAAAATGTTATATTACTTATGATCCTGAAACACATGACATTAAGATTTCTCGCAACGTGATTTTTTATGAGAATATCTTTCCCAATATGAATGTTATTGACAATAATACTTCTCAAATTTCCTTACCTCTTTCAAATACTCAACATATTGACTTTGATCAACAAGTTTGTCTTTATAATAGTAACACTAATGATTTTGAGAATACTTATACTGCAAATCACCCTATTTCTTAAAATCATCTTGATAACATAGATAATACTCTTAGAAGGTCCAATAGGATTAGATACACCCTTACATACTTAAGAGACTATCAAATCTCTTCATATAAAACCT